AGCCATTGACAACAACAAATGTGTGATTCTTCTATTGTTGGACTTATCAGCTGCATTCGATACTGTTGATCATGACATTTTGTTAAACAGATTGCAGTCAAATTTTGGTATAAAGGGAAAAGCTCAAGCATGGTTTCGGTCGTATCTTACAGACCGCACACATTTTGTCAAAATAGATGGGAGCAGTTCATCAGTTCATCCCGTCAGTTACGGGGTTCCACAAGGGTCGGTGTTGGGACCATTATTATATCTGCTATACACGTCTCCATTGGGAGATCTAATGCGAAAACACGACATATCATTTCATCTATATGCAGATGATAATCAAATATATACCACGTTTGGTTTCAATAATGATGTTGAACTCTCGTTGGCGACGTGTCGGGTTGAAAGATGTCTAGCTGATATCACCAACTGGATGTCTGCTAATAAGCTAAAACTCAATACTGGCAAAACAGAACTCCTTGTTCTCCACTCGAAGTTCCGACAGATTTCGTTGCAACCAAACATAACTGTTAAATCTGACACCATTAAATCTAGTGAAAAAGCACGAAATATCGGAGTAACGTTCGACAGAACATTGACAATGTCACCTCACATAAATGAAGTGGTCAAGGGAGCTTTTTATCACTTAAGGAACATAGCCAAGATCAGAAAGTATATTAGTGCGGACACAACGGAAGTACTAGTTCATTCGTTTGTCAGTTCAAGATTAGACTTCTGCAATTCACTTTTGTATGGTCTACCTAAGTATGAACTCAATAAACTGCAAAATGTACAAAATGCAGCAGCACGGGTTATAGCTTGCTTGCGAAAGTATGACCACATCAGCCCAACTTTAAGAAACCTACATTGGTTGCCAGTTCAAGAAAGAATAGTTTTTAAGATTAATTTAATGTGTTTCAAAATAGTAAATAACATTGCTCCTAAATATTTACAAGAACTTATATGCCGTTATGAACCAACAAGAATACTTCGCTCATCAGCAGATAAATGGCGTCTTACAGAACAACCATACAAACTTAAAACCTATGGATATCGGGCATTTTCGGTAACTGCCCCAAAACTTTGGAACACACTGCCAGTGGATATTAGATCTATAACTGACATTAATACTTTTAAATCCAAATTAAAGACTCATCTTTTTAAATTAGCTTATGACATATGACTTACAGTTATAAGAGATTTTATTTTAATATTTTTACTAGTTTTTTAGATATGCATATATAGACATATGGGACTTATAAGACGAATTTTAATATTATAGCTTATACATATATAATAGATGTAAACTACTGTATACTTAATTTTACAATGTAAAGCGCATAGAACAGCAATGGATATGCGCTATAGAAATGTTATTATTATTATTATTATTATTATTATTAATATACACACAGGGATTCACAATACAGCGGGAAGGAAAACGAGACAAAATACTTTTATGAAATAAATGAACAATGATTGAACTTTAAATTACAATGCACACACCAGTTGAATGCAGCTACATAGATCTAGTCAAGTACAGTTGATTTAAGACAATTTTGCCAGTAACACGATACTGTCCAATGCGAAAACAGAGCAAGATTAGTGGTCATAACTTGGCTATTTTTCCTGTTGAACATTTACCCTTTCAAAAACTACAAACGCCTGTTTCATTACAAAATCGCCATATGAGAGTTGTAGAAGCTTCACACATGCTAAACGTGTTATGAAGACTCTATCACTAGTATTTATTTTTAACTTGACTGCTTTTTACTCACAAAATTTTTGCAATCATCCGTTCGGAATTCAATATTGCGCCGCCGTTTGTACAAAAACAACAAATTCCCTCGTTTTCGCGCAAGGTCTGAGGATAATTTTGAGCGCAATCTTCTCTTAATGTAAAAATATAAAATTGCCAATCAAATATTATTGGTTAAACTTGATTTTTAGTCTTACCGTAGACAGAAAATCGAATGAAAAACATAATTTTTAGATAAACACTTATTTATTTATCAGAGAAAGTATCATCTTACACGGATAACTTGCACGGAAAACCAGTATGGACTAATAGCGGCTGCTTAAGCGTTATTTGTAAGCTCACAGTCTACCTCGGTCTGCTTCATGCCAGTTCCGGCTGTAATTGTAATGCGCACTTGATCTTATACATATGTAAAATCGCGCAATAGAAATATTATTATTTTTATTATTATTATTAGCCGTGCATATTTCTGCTACAGTATACGTTTTGTGCCATTGCACGCTTTGGTTTTAATCCAATTCGATCCGTCAAAAACTTAATCATGTCTTAATCGTAGGTCATTATATTTAACAATATGTTTATTACTAAGACCAATGGAATTACTGGACCAACGATATTATTGTTATTATATGGCAATTTAACAATTAGTCGTCAACTGTCGCGAAAGCCCGAAATTTCTGGTTTTTACTAGATTTCCGGTTTTGAAAAAACGTAAGGTTTGAAAAAAAATTAGTACAGAGATATAACAAGTCGTTTTATTTGAATTTGCTAGTTGCAATGATACGCGTAGAAATCTTGCGAAACAATGGGTGTTGAAAACCGGAAGTGCGGTAAATCTGGTATGGGGGGGGGGGTTCAGCAGGTTTATGAAAAGCCGACAGTCCATAAGCGCAGGCAAAGGCGTTTTGAATTAATTCTCTTGTTTGCGTTCGCTCGGGGATACAAACTGCAGCTGTCATCTTTTTTTAGATTGCTGTTTCGGAAAATCAAGGACAAAATGAACGTCGTCACAAGCGTATTGATAAGTCTTGCAGCAGAGCGGAGCTGGGCCTGGGCTTGAACAAGCCTTTTCCGAATTAATTAACCTCGGTATTTTAAATCATAGCCTATCGGGAAGATTGGCTGTGAAACTCATTAACCAATAGCAACGTTTTAGGAAAGTCACCTATCCGTGCATGACTCGAACAATAGGGAAACTGGAAATTTCTATTGCAGAGAATTTGGTAAAAAATACAATACACACGTGACGGTGAAACGACCAGATTTATGAACAAACGTTGACCAACATAGATAATGAGTTATATTGTTATTCTAATGAGTTTTACAGCCATCTTCCCTTCGATAGGCTATGTTTAAATTAATCACTGTTATGCATTTAAACATAAATCTTTTTTAAATGTGAATGGACCTATTACCTAATGAACAGAATTTTGATCTAGACAAGTCTAGACAACAATTTCATCACAGCAGTTGAAAGAGAATCACACAATTAGTAATATTCCGAAGTTTCGTTGCAAAGTGTGGTAAAATGCGGATAATATAGCCTTGCGAAGTTTGCCGCTTTTCAGTATTTTTTTTTATTACGCACGGGAAGTTGATACCGCTTTCCGCCGAAAAAAGGTATCAACTTCCCGTTCGTAATACAAAATGACTGAAAGACGGCACTTCGAAGGGATATATGATCCGCATTTTACAACCCTTCGTAACAAAACTTCGGAATATTACTAATTTTGTGATGCTCTTTCAAGCTGTGATGAAATTTTTATCTAGGCTTCTTGAAATCAAAATTTTGTTCATTAAGTAATAGGTTCATTGAAATTAAGTTCTATATTTATTTAACAATACAAAGTTACACGTAAACAATTCGGCAAACTTGACCTACTATACTTTAAGATTACTTATACTAAATCAATTCCTATAAATGTTTAAAACTGAAAAAAAATTTACAATTTGTTATGTGAAACGATTTTCCAAGCTCTTTTGCATGTATTTTTTATATTTTCGCCTTCTTCACTCCTGACAAACAACTATATTTTGAGGTCAGTGAGATGACCGCGTTCTCCTTGTGCCTGCGACTATTGATGAACTTTAGACTTTTCCCCTCCCTCGGTTTGCGGGGACATTTAATCACCAATTTCCCTCAAAGCATGCGTTTACTTGGCCTATAATAATTAATTAGGAAGCGTTACGTTTGAAACGTGAATAAACGCGTGAAATAGTTCGCGCATCATGCATGCTTGAAATTACTAAATGGTAGTATGATTGTTTTCCATGATAGAAGAAAGCATAAATATAAAAAATACATGTACTAAAGCTTGGAAAATCGTCTCAAATAACAAATTGTAAAACTTTTTCAGTTTTTAAACGTAAACATTTATAAGAATTGATTTAGTATCAGAAATCGTAAAGTATAGTATAGAGCAAGTTTGTCCTTGAGTTTTCATATTCGTCATATTTTAGATTTTTATTAGTTTTTATACCATAGATTGTACATTATTTTTCTGTCAACAGTAAGCAAATTGTTCGCTCGGTTTGTTTACATATTTCGTTGCTAAAAAGTATAATTTTTCTTTTTTGTTTCTCAAATTTATCAAAATGGCCCCAATGAAGCTCTATACAGCAATACACAGGCCTAGCGACCGTCCTAAGAAGTAAGTGAAGTTACTTACATTTTAACAACGAAATGTGTAAACAAACTGAGAGAACAATTTAGTAAATGTTGACAGTAAAATAATGTACAATCTATAAATATACAAACAAAATTTAGGCTACAATTTAAGCTTGAAAACTGATTTGGCCTATAAATAGAAAAATTTACTTCACATTTACCGTAATACTGGCTTTTTTGGCTTTTAAAAAGCTCAAAAGAAGTAAAAAACTCTAAACTTTCGGGATTTCCTCCGCAAACTACGTCACAAGCCTGCGACGTCAACCTTTTTATGAAGGTCTATTGTTTTTATATAATATCTCATTAAATTCTGATCGTTTAATTGACTGTTTATAGTCTCTACGTAATATTGAATAGAAAATTCCATTTTCCAAGAGTCCAATGAAATACGAACCATTGCACTCTTTGTGAGTGTAAGGTTGTTTACCATTTACATGGAAAACCCATCCGGTTTGAAATTGTACTAATGGTAAGCAAAATTTTGGATACAAAATCCCATTCGGATTATCCGCTTTTCTATTTAGAGTGACTGACCGGAAACCACTGAAGGGTTGTTTACCATTTACATGGGAAACCCATTCGGTTTGAATTAAATTGAGAAGAGCTCGGAACTTGTGAAGAAAAATAGAAAAATGCAAATAGAACAAAATAGACCGGTTGAAACGTTCCAATCGGTAAGAAAAGACAACTATTCAAACAGACCGTTTATATATTTCGAAAAATTTTCGATTGGGCCGTCGAAATGTGCTTGTTCCATCTACTTCCCGTTCTAAATCACCGGAATTTCCATGTAAATGGTAAACAACCCAATTGTACTATACGTTTTATTCCATTGAACTCTTTGTGTTTTCGATAAATCGCGTCCATCAAAATGCTTCTCATACGAATCTATTAGTCTGTTTTGGTATTATATCGCCTCCTTGAATGGAACAATCATCTTTCACCTCATGAAAATATTTTTACTATTGAACGAATAAACAATTCATTATTTGTATAATGTGTGACTTTGTATTATTAAATACATATAGACTTTGTTCTTGATGTTTGAGTCTTTCTCATATCTTAGTTAAATTAAATTTTTTAAAAGTTCATAATAAAAAGGGAAGCAAATTATTTGCATTAGCGTCCTGTACGGATTCAATTTACTTAATTTGAAATTGGGAGTAATAGTTTGAGTTGAAGAGTTTAATATCCGCAAAAAGCAGTTAATTTAACTTCAATTCACATTTAAAAAAAGATTTATACTTAATTGACTTCTGCAGATGAAGTTGATCACTGTTAGTATAATGGACATCTTTTTAACTTTTTTTAGGGCCTAGATGAAAACTACTTTGTGTAACTCTAGTGACTCTGTTTAATTACAGTGTTTATTATTATTATTATTATTATTATTATTATTATTATTATTATTATTATTATTATTATTATTATTATTATTATTATTATTATTATTATTATTATTATTATTATTATTATTATTATTATTATTATTATTATTTTGACACAGTCAATCAAAATATGCCGGTTATGCATTCTCCTGTCAGAATCTCAAACACCAACGACGTTAAGTGTTATTGTGGTAAATCATGTAAAGGTACGCGGGGGCTTAAAATGCACCAACGTAGTTGTCGTGTAATACATGGTTTAAATGATGAATTGCTTACAGACCTTGAACAGCAATCTACTGAGAACTCGACTACGAATACTTCTACTCATTCTACATTTGAGGAAATTGATGTAATGGAAAATATTGCGAGCGATCAGAATTTTCCAGTGTTGAAGAAAGGGGTAAAGCTTCCCAAAAGCGACGCAGAATGGTCAACGGCTGACAGCTATTTCAAATTTGAATTGCGACTAAATGCGCCAATCAGAATTGAAGATCTAAGCTCAAGCATTACGCTAATGAATGATGTTGTCTACAACTATTTCGCTGATAACTTCGGTTATGTTGAGAAGATGCCGGATAAAGAGCTAGTGAATAAGTATAAAGATCAAACAGTAAAAGCCTTAAAGAAATGTCTAAAACAACTAAAGCTATCGAACGCTGATCCTCACGAAATCAAATATGTAGCTCGCACATTGCGTGATAAGTTGCGTAATGCTTGTCAAATCAATACAACTCAAAACCAAAACAAAACGTTCAATCACGACAATTACATTAGTAGAAATTTCTGGGGTTACGTTAAGAACGTCCTGAATAAGAATACTTGCCTACTTCCATGCTTTACAATGTCAGAATGCCTAAACTATTTCAAGAAAACTCTATGTTCAATTAACCCAAACAAACTGTTTTGTATTCCAAGCTGGATTCCGAAGTTATCCGATCCTATCGTAAACTTTGACCTTCAACCCCCAACATATCGCCAAGTTACAAACATTATTCGCAGAATGAAAGCTTCTGGATCGCCTTGTCCTCTAGATCAACTTTCAATCATTTGCTTCAAACGTTGTCCATTCTTGCGCACTTATCTAACCGAAGTGATTCGTAGCGTCTGGTCTTCGAAATCTGTACCAGCTGAATGGAAAAAAGCGTGTTCTATTCTTATCCACAAAAAAGGCAATACAAGTGACCCCTCCAATTTCCGCCCAATTACTCCAGAAACTATACAACTAAAAGTGTTTACCTCTTGTCTCCGCAATGCTATGTTCTCGTTCCTAACTGCTAATAACTTTATTGAACATCAGATTCAAAAAGGTTTCACTCCCAATCTGTCTGGCACTCTGGAACACACTGCTCAAATGACAAATATTATCAACCAAGCGAGAATAAAGCAGCGCTCTGTTGTCATCACCCTTCTCGATCTCAAGAATGCTTTTGGTGAAGTGCATCATAATCTAATTCAATCTGTCCTCGACTATCATCACATTCCCAAAGACGTTAGTGAAATAATAAAGAGCTTGTATACGGACTTCAATACTGCATTTATAACATCAGAATTCTCCACCCCATTTATAACTGTCGGTCGTGGAGTCCTTCAAGGAGACTGTCTTAGTCCTCTGATTTTTAATATGTGCATCAATACCTTTATTCAACATATAAAAACTGACAAATACCGGCAATTTGGTTTCATTACAAATCTTTTAAACCCAGTCCATTGGTTCCAGTTCGCTGATGATGCTGCGGTAATAAGCGGTCAAGATTCAGAAAATCAACATCTTTTAAATCGATTCTCGATCTGGTGCCAGTGGTCTAACATGATTGTCAGGGTTGATAAGTGTTCAACATTTGGGATCAGGAAAAGTCTCACAAAATCTATCCAATATTTACCTAAACTTCTGATTAACAATGAATTGATACCTGCCACTAAAATTGGAGAGTCGTTTCGATGCTTGGGGAAATATTTTGACTTCAGTATGTCCGAAAAAGAACACAAACAAGAGCTAATCACTCTCATGGACGACATTATGTCTGAAATTGATCTCAAACCTTTGCACCCAAGAATAAACTTTTGCTTTATAGTCGTTACCTCCTATCCAAACTTTCCTGGCATTTCACTGTAACCACCTTATCAAGAACCTGGGGCACTGAAAATATGGATTCTGTGGTAAACAAGTACGTACGTAAATGGCTTGAAATACCTATATCAGGAACTCTATCTAACGTCTACCTTACCAGTAACAAGTTTGGTCTAAATATCTACCCGCCGTCAATTAAGTTTGCTCAGTGCCAAACAGTTGCTCGTAACGCCTTAAAGACCTCTCCAAATCATTCCATAAAAGACCTCTGGAAAACAACATCTGAAAGCAAAAACATTCAGTACGACGTTTACACCTCGACAAAGGAAGTCCTTAAAACTTTTACCTTCGGACAAGAAGACAAACTGCAGAATCATCTGATTTTGCAAGGCAAACTTGTCGAAATTAAACGGCATATGGTCTAAATCACAATCAAACCTCCCAAAGAACATCTATAACTTCACCATTCGTTACATCAATAACTCACTTCCAATTCGTAAAAACCTTACTAAATGGGGAATATTGTCCAACTCTGATTGCTCCTTCTGTTTAAACCCTGAAACTCTTTTACACGTAGTTGCTGGATGTCAAACGTATCTCCCACGACTTACATGGAGACATGATTCTGTTCTGAACTTCATAGCACAAACGCTACAACCTGTAAACAACTCCAATCTTTTCGTTGATCTTCCTGGTTATAAAAGCCCATCAATTGTAATTGGTGACACATTCCGCCCAGACCTACTTCTATCTATCAACTTGGATTGTCTCTATATCCTTGAACTTTCTGTTGGTTATGAGTCTAATCTAGAAACAAATGTTGATCGGAAAAGAAGAAGATACGAAGATCTCATTACACAGCAAAAGAAACAATTTAAGTCCGTAAAATTTGTCAATTTGTCAATTAGTTCTTTAGGCGTCTTCTCAAAAGAATGTAATTCCTTTTTAGATATGTTAAATGATCTAGGTCTTGATAAAAGACACCAACATTTTGCTATCAGGAAAATTATGTCTATCGCGATTAGGACAACATATTATATGTTTTGTTGCAGAGATAAGGACTGGTCAAATCCGGAATTACTGAACATTTAAGGATACTCATTATTAATATATAAATATTAAGTAGGTTCAAGTAGCCAATTATAAATTACCTAAATTAGTGAGATGTGTAATTGTATATATATACGTATATAATTTCAATAAAGTTTCCATTATTATTATTATTATTATTATTATATATATTATTATTTAATATATCCGCAGATGGCTTGAAGTACCAATATCAGGAACACTAAGTACTGTCTTTCTAGCAAATAACAAATTTGGCCTGAGTATTTATCCTCCATCGGCAAAATTTATCCATTGTTAAACAGTCCTCCGAAAAGCTTTGAAATTTTCTCCAAATTATGAATCAACTAACGACCTGTGAAGAGCAACCAGTAACTATACTAATATCCAGTATGACGCTTATAACTCTACTAAGGAAGTTCTCAAAGATTTCCGTTCTGGACACGAAAACAAACTCCTAAACCAATTAACCAGTCAAGGATCCTTTTTCTGCAGCGTCAAGAAGTTCGCTTTACCTCAGCTTAACAAGGTGTGGTCCATCGCCCAATCAAAGCTCCCGAAAAACATTTACAACTTTACCATTCGTTACATTAACAACTCTCTTCCGACGCGCAAAAACCTAAACAAATGGGCAATATTTTCAAATTCAGACTGTTCTTTTTGTCTTAGCCCTGAAACATTACTACACATAGTAGTTGGATGTCAGTTTTGTCTCGACCGATTTACGTGGACACACAAATCAGTCCTGAACTTTCTTGCTCATACTTTACAAACTGTTGACGGTTCTACTCTCTATGCTGATTTAAATGGATTCAAAAGCCCTTCAATACTTACTGGTGATACGTATCGCCCAGATTTGTTATTATCGTGCTCAAATGATTCCTTATATGTGGTTGAACTCACCACTGGTTATGAGACAAACCTCAAAAACAACGTAAAACGGAAGAAGGATAAATATAGAGAATTACTGAGACAGCTAGGTAAAAATTTTAACCAAGTTAAATTTATAAATCTCTCCATCAGCTCTTTAGGTGTTTTTGCAGAAGAATGTTATACATTTTTAGACATGTTAGAAAGCATTGGTCTTGACAAAAACCACCAAATGTACTGCGTTAGGAAAATGATGACTATTGCTATTAGAACTACATATTACATTTTTTGCTGCCGAAATAAGGAATGGGAAAATCCGGATTTACTAACAATTTGACTTATCTCATTGTTATATATATATTGCATGCACTTTGTTCTGTTATTTTCCCCGAGCCGGCGGCGCGAAGCGCCGTGCGAGGGTACTAATTCCCCCCGGTTATTTACACCCGGGGAAACGAAAGCATTAGCCAAGTCTAAAGTTCATCAAATATCGCGGGCGTGGGTCACTGTGCGTGGGTGGTCATCCTCACTGATCTCAAAAAGATAGCGGACTGTCATGGATAGCGAACACTGATTGGTCAAATTTAAAATTTGTTGTTGTATGACAAATCACGACTTCAACTGACAGATACTTCATGAAAATAATTTGCTTTTTGCACTGCAGTATTTTGTACGTTTGCAAAAAACTTTGACAGCTTTCAAAGCAATTTGCTCTATAAAGAGTTTAATAAAACAATTATGGTATCAAATACCAATTGAAAAGATATGGACTACTGTATGGAGCCAAATGAAGAGCGGCAAGGAAACGACAAGAAAGCCGAACGTCTCGCGAAAAGGAGGAGCCAGCGAAGACGACAACGTTTGCTCGAGGAGACTGCTGAGGAAAGAGAAGCTCGCCTGGGAAAGCGTAGAGAAGCAT